CACTGTTGGGGCTGGAGAGATGGCTCAATAGTTAAGAGCACTAGCCAGCTGCTCTTGCAGAGGACCTGGGTTCAGTTCCCAACTCCCACATGACAGCTAACAGTCATCTGTAACTCCAGTTCCAGGGTATCTGATACCCTCTTCTGACCTCCATGGGCATTTCAGGACACAGGTGTTTTTATATGCATGCAGGGCAATACACTCATACACATAAAATAAAAATAATAAAATATTTTTTAAAGTAGTGAAGGTTTTTAAAAATTATTTTTAAGTGTGTGTTTGTCTGAATGTAAGTGCACCACATGCATGCAGTGCCTATGGAGGCCAGAAGAGGGCATCAGATCCCCTGGAACTAGAGCTACAGACAGGAGCCATCAAATGGGTGCTTGGAACTGAGCCTGGGTCCTCTATGAGAGCAGCACCATTGCACCATCTCTCTTTAGACCCCAATAGTGGGGATCTAATTATAGATTCATTCTTCAAGTTGGGAAATAATCTGATTTACTCTAGGTTGAAATGTGCCAAGAACTGATTGAGTGACACTGCCATAGACTCTCAGTTCATCTGCTACACTAGATTATAGAATTTCAGAACAGAAAGGAGGCTTGGAGCTTATTCACTTGCTCATTTGTCAGATAATAAAATGAAGATTTACAGAACCTCTCTTGATTTTCACAACCAAGAGGGCACAATATCTCAAGACATCCACAGACCAAACATTTTATCCAGGCTGCTGGTTGTTGGGGTAGCTGGCCCCATGATGGCTCCTCCACCTATACTCACACTGTGTTCTGTCCCTCCCACATCACTCATGACTGTGTGGCCCATTTCATAGGCCTCCTTAGAGATTAGGCAGCTCTCCTGCTCTGCCACTCTTAGATCACTGGCTACACAGGCCCGGAAGAGGAACAGAAGCCTCCTGCCCAACAACCAAGCCAGTTGCTTCTTCAGTTCCTCTAGTTGAGCTCCAAATGGTAGCAGGCCCAACTCACAGTGTGACAAAACTCTCAGACCCAAAACCAAACCTCCAGCTAGGCTGCTACCATATTCTTGAGACCACAAGCCCTCTCACCCTGGATGAGATAATACATTTGTTTTTCTAAGCTAAGTTTTGGGATAATTTTTTATATATTAATGAACAATACAACGAATAACACTTTAAAACCATGCTTGAAATACACAGAGTTTAGTATGGAGATCAAGTTGCCCCCTGCTCTGAGTTACTCCGTATTGTGTAAAACAGTGGTTTGAGGACTACCTTATCTAGAGTAGCTCCATTTTACAACAGCAGTTGGCTCCATTCTGAGTGCAAATGGAGAGGAACAATGACTTTACCTCATGTTTATGCACATTGACACTACCACGAGGAACCATGAGGAACAGATAAGTAACTTACTCTTGTGAGTAAAAAGGTACCACCTATAGACTTATCGAAGAAAACAGCCCCACTAACCAGTCATGTGACCACCCAGAGGGTATGTCAGAGATTGATAAAGAACTTGAGAGGCTTCAGCTCAGATGCTGGCCACTGGTCCATCTAGGTCCAGCCCTGTGTCTAGCCTCAAAGGTCCTGCATCTGTGCTGTTGGGGTCAAACCTTGCAGTTGTTGTCAGATGGCTCGCTGGGTTGGACCATGGTGGCTTGGCTCAGCTGGGTTCAGCTTCCAACTGGCCTCTTTGATACCTTAACCACCTGTATCTGTAATGGCTCCCTTGTACTGCCTCCAGGAAGGCCCCTCTGAACTCTTTGGCCCCTAACTTTCTTAGAGCTATTTGTAGACCACCACTCCAAAAACACAAATATGTTATTATGTGAAGTGTAATGTGTGATCTAAGAGCTAATATTAGTAACTAAGAATATAGTAAGAGCCTACGATATCAAGTGAAATCGAGGCTACTTGGTAAATTGCAACCAATGAAACCAACATACTGTGTGAATGTATTGTATTTACTCAATAAATTTTGACATTGTGGAAATGCACAGGTCTATGTTCCTGGCATTTTACACTCACGTGTACAGTGCAGAAAGCTGTAAAGGCTGTTCTCCAATAGAGAACCTACCACAGCAGAGATTAATGATTATGAGGGCAAATAGTAAACTATTCCTACCTTTTAAATGAGAACGTGAAGGAACTTTACAGACAATAGGCCAAGTGGCCACCTCTCAGAACAGTCTAAATATAAAAAGAAAACAATTCCTTTCTCTAATTTTGGGGGCAGATTAGTAGGCCAGTTAGGACACTGGTCCTCAGTGACCAGCTTATATCCTGGGACAGCCTCAGTGGAGTAGCTCAGCATCCATAGTGCTGAGAGTCCAAAGTATCATTAGAAGGAGCAGGATACCAGATGTCAGGGAGATCGCTCTTCAACAGATGCAGCCATAAATTTTAGTAAACCTGTTCCTGAAACCCAAAGTATACTCTTAAATGAGTTCAAAGTGTTACACATAATCAAAAGTGACTGTAGAGATAGTCTGTCAGAGAGATGAAAAAATCTACCTCATTTCTTCCACTTCCTCATTTGAGTAAATGACTCAAATAAGTCTTGACAGAAGGCATAGGACATGAGAAAGCCACAGGATACAAGGGAATCCATGGAACACTGATGGAATTGCAAAAGTATTCACAGAAAAGCCTCCTTTGCGGGCTTACTTTGGAAAATGCACTCCTCAGAAGTGAGGCGTTAACAAAAACTGTGGGTGATGCAGGAAGATTACTTGCCAACCCCAAAGCAAGCCAAAGCAAGCTGCTTTGCTGCATCTGACTGCATTTCCTGAACCCTGAACCCCCAAAGAACTGCCTTTTGAAGTCAACAGTAACAAAGTTCTAGTTTGCATTTCTTATTCTATAATTGGCAAAATGGTTTGTCTTTTTTTTCCCCTCTTATATCCTCTCACAGAAATATTTAATAACATTTTTCTAAGGAGCCAAGGACCAAGAAAAGGAAGTATTCACATAGATTTCTGAATAATAGTTTTTCTTGCCAATGGCTAAACACACAGAATACTGGAAAAACAGATTTTTCCAAAAACGTTATAGAACAGATGCTTTTTTTAAAAAATTATGAGATCCAACCTTTGGAAACTTCATATTCAACCCAGTATGATGTAAACATCTAAACTGGCTCAACTTAGTAAAAATTAGATGTCAGATGCTATAGGTAGTTCTAAGATAACTAACTTAGAGAAACTTAATGACAGGATCTGGTTTGACACTCTTGGTAAAGTTCACTTTAAAGGAAAAGAACTGTTGAAAGTGATGAGACAACAGACCTGGGAGAAATGAGCACACAGTCAACTTAAGTGTTCACGGGCCTCATTTATTCTCCTGTCTAGACAGGATGGGTGGGAGGATAAGGCCTCCTTTCTTCCTCAAAAAAGCAATCTCCTTCTTTAAGACCAAAATCTTTTCTGACTGGGTTTGGATCAATTCAGTGACCTTCTGTCTTGCGATAATATCTGCTTTCCGAGGGCCCTGGAAGGCACTGCCCTGTTGGAAACAAAAATAAACAAAACATCTCTCTGCTTTAAACACTGGAATGTGAAAAGTCCCCTGGTCTTCTGTATTTGTTGGTAGTACTAATCTTACAGTCCATTTTAATAGAGACCACTTCTTAACATAAGGAGATACTCTCCCATTAAAATCCTGCTCTTAAAATACATGCCTTTGGAAGCACTTTACCTGTCATTCATTCATACTGGGAGGGCTCATTACTGAGGTAAAACACAAAGACAAGAATAATTCAGGGGACCCACTCTAGAAGAGGAGCACTCTGGAGTCTGCTTGAAGCCTCTTATCAACTAAGAGTCAAGAATTCTAGCACAAAATCTAAAATTCCCCATGAAGGTTACCTACATAGAGACAATATTCCTTTTATACAATGATGTTTCAAATATCTGTGTTAAAATGTCAGTCTATGCTTAAAGACTAAGCATCTATTACCTTCGGGTAAGGTCTTTCTAAGACTAAGCATCTATCTTCTTACCCAGCTTTAGGCCTGCAATTTTCTAGAATCACACAAGACTATATTAACTTCACTTAGAGTAAAAACATGTCAACTCCCATGTGACCTATGTTTGTATCAGCCTGTAATCCTACCTAATTTATCCCATTTACTGATCTCATTTACTGAAAAAGTGGGGGAAAGAAGAGAAAGAAGGGAAAGAAGGGGGTATCCCTTAGAAACCCCAAAATATACAACTAAGGCATGTAAATGCAAGTTTCTTTTGAGAAGCACATGCCACACTTGGGTGTATACTGTTCTCTCTCTCTCTCTCTCTCTCTCTCTCTCTCTCTCTCTCTCGCTCTCTCTCTCCTGTGGTTAAAGCTACATTAAAACTGTTTCTTAATAAACTCCAACTCTGCTTCATACTGACTCATCCTGAAATTCCTTTCTGTGGCGAAGTCCAGAATCCAGGCTCTACCCAAGCAGAGGTCTCTGAAGAAACTCCTAACTCTTCAGCCTGCTCAGGCAACAACATGGCACTGTCTTCAGCTGTGCAGCCTATATTTGGACTCCCTAAGAGAAATCTCTGCATCCTCATCCAATTCCTGCTCGTGTCACTTCAGGGAGGCCTTCATCATCCCGTGAACTGGGTTTAGAATTTCCTGCTCTCCCCCATCAAAACATCCACTAATCATATTGTCATTGTAATTAGCAGATGGAACCATAAGAAACAGGATATTTGACTATTTTTTTAACCTAAAAATGTGACAATTTTATGTGATTCAAACTAAATATTTACTTGATACTTTTCTTTCAAAATCCTGGGCCTCAGGTGTTCTGTATCTCCCCACTCTACCCAGTACCTGCCTTAGCACTAGTGGCATAAGTAAATGGTTGATGAAATTTGAAATGTTTGATGATCTTGCCTGTTAAAGGAAAAATAGAACTCTTCCCTAGTACCCATGCTGTGCAAGAGACACTTTACATCTGTCTCTCAATGAATCCTCAACACAACCACAAATTTTGTGTTATTAGTCCAGTTTTACAGATAAAGAAACTGAGACTCCAGAGGTTGGCTAGCTGGCCCAAGGCACTCTATTATTAAAAGCTGGAAGGAGGATTAGGAAAAGGTTGCTGAAGCCAAAAGTCATAATTTTTCTTTTTCTTTTTTGGTCTTTTTGAGACAGGGTCTCCCTGTAGCACCAGCTGACCCTAGAACTCGCTATGTAGACCAGGCTGGCCTTGAACTCACAGAGATCTGCCTGCCTCTGCCTCCCAAGTGCTGGGATCAAAGACATGCACCACCACGCCTGGCATAATTTTTCTTTTTTAATAAATATTTTAATTATTTTCATTTTATGTGTATAACCTGTATCATGCAGTTCTCACAGAGGTCGGAAGAGGGTGTTGAATCTCCTGATATTGGAGTTATGGATAGTTACTAGCCTCCATGCGGGTACTGGGAATCGAACCTGGGTCCTCTGCAAGAGCAGTCAGTGCTCTTAACCAGTGAGCCATCTCTCTAGCTCAAAAGTCATAATTTTTCCATCGCTCCTAGCTATTATGACAAACCTTTGGAGTAGGGCTACCCAGAACAATTCTGCCTCTTTTTCCTTGTGCAGCTTTCTCCAGGGGCTATGGGAACTAAACACCAGCTTGCTCAATGGTTCTTCCACCAAGGGCTGGCTAAATGAACTGAAGCAGGAAACGCTTCTGGTTTTTTGGTTTGTCTACTTTGAGAAAAGGTCTCATGTTGCCTAGCCTGGCTTTGAACTTAATATGTAGCCAAGGATTGACCTTGAACACCTGATCCTCCTGTCTCTACCTCCCAAGTGCTGGGGTTTGAGGTTATGTACCACCACCCCTAGCAATGCTCCCTTTCTTAATAAAAAGATAGAAAATTCTGGTGTGTGGACACGAAATAGAGCTGAAGTAGCCATCTTGTGAGGGTGAAGGAAACAGAGACTCATCCAATGCCTTGATATCACAGACCCACCTTCAGTCTCCTCCCTTGGGACTTTTCATGAGAAAAAATATCTCATTTCTTAATACTAGTCTTCATGAGATGTTTGATTATTGTAGCTAATAACTCAAGTCTAGTCATTTCAACTGTCTTTTAATTCACCTTAACTTTCCCTCACTTCACTATATTCAGTTAAATTTTAGCTATTCTCACTTTGAAATGTCTCTTTGACACTTGCTCTTTCGTTTTTTACCAAGTACATCTCCAGTCATTCCTGGATAATGATAAAAAGCAACATAGTCAACTTTGGAGGCAAACAGACCAGCATTTCCAGATAACTTCATTGGGCATTAGCTCTGAGAGCTTCAGAAAGTTCCCTAACTTCTCTGAGATTTGAACTATAAAATTAATATATGTGTATGAGGAGGGTTGCATTCTTGTTGAGCTTTTTTTTTCTGGTGCTAGGGTTCAAGCCCAAGGCCTCATTCGTGAATGCCAGGCAAGTACTCTACCAACTAAATTATACCCCATCCCAGAACTCTAGTATTTTCAGGATTAAATGAGATATCCCATGTATGGTGGTTAGCTTTGTCAAGTTGACACAACCTATAATCCACATGGAAAGAGTCTCAATGAGGGACTGTCTACATTGGTTGTAGGCATGTCTGTGGGGGAGTGTCTTAATTGGTGTGGGAAGGCACAGCCCACTGTGGGTGGCACTATTCCCTAGGTAGGGGTTCCTAGACTTTAGGAGTGGAGAAATCGAGCTGAGCACAAGCCAGCAAGTGAGCATGTAGGCATTCATTTCTCTTGGCTCTTAACTGTGGATATGATTAGCCACTGGAAGTTTCTACCTTGACTTCTTCACAAAGATTGGCTGTAACCTGGATTGTGAGCTTAAATAACCCCATCTCCTCTAAGTTGCTTTTTTGTCAGGGTAATTTGTCACCACAACAGAAATAAAACTAAGACACTGTGTAAAGAGACTACAGTATATAGAAAGCTATACTAATGTGAATTGAGGTTCTTAGAAAAAGCCATATTTGTGTGGAAAGTCCTACAGGCCAGCTGACAAGAACTTTGTGATTGTAGGGGGAAGAAATGTTGCAAATCAGGAGCCCAAATCATCTGAGCTGTCTTTAGTTCTCTTAATAGCCATTCACTGTCAGCCTCTATATCTGACCAGACATCTTAGTGATTATTACATGAAACTTTTGGAATGAATTATTTTAGCAGACCACTAACTTCTACAAACCCTAAAGCTAAGAGTTATAAGACAGCCCTTGAAATCTATAGAAGAGATTTCCTTCTCTGCTGCGGTCATCTACCTGACATTTCCACATTGATTTATGACTTTCTTTTGTTCTGTAGCTATAAAAGTTCATATAACTACAGTGGAATATGTCATTCAGAGGACCCTGAATCCAGGCTCCCAGGCCATGTTCCATCACTTGACTCAGAATAAACTCTTAGAATCTGGAGCAAGAGTTGTGTTTGCATTAACATTAAGTAAAGATGTGTTTTTACAGAGACATATACTGATTAATTTTCCCATTTAACTGATCTTCCTCTAAGCTCTTTCCTCTTCAATGTGTCTGGAATTACCAAAGCACATCAAATTAATAATGTTTACCTGCTTCTTAGTTCATGAAAACTGTGTTTGGGAAATAACTTTTTCAAACATGTACTTGATATTTCACTCTAATTTTTGATAGCTAGAGGACATTTGATACTCAAATCTAGTCTACCTTTCATATTTAATCCCCATTTATAATCCTCCCAAATAGTTCAAACTGTTCAGTCTATGTGGAATAAATCTTTCTTGCTTTGAGATTTTTGCTTAGACTAGCAATTCCTAAACATGCACAAGAATCACCTGGAAGGCCTGTTCCTGTGCATCTTGCTGGGCCCTGCCCCCCAAACTTCCAACTCAGTCTCACTGGGGTAGGACCCAAGATTTTACTTTTCAAACATTTTTCTAGGTGATGTAGATACTGTTCCTCAGGCAATCATAGTTTGAAAATGTCTGGCTTAGATTACTTCCAGGATGCTTAAAGAAAATATAAAGCAAGGAAGACCACGAAAATTGGCTAATATTTTTGTAGATTCTATAGAAGATATCAGATTCCTAGAGGGCAAGACATGGTTCAGGTAAACATTTATTGAATAAGCATAATCCATCACATGTTATGTGTTATGTACTGTTAGGGTCATTATATGAGCATTATATAACAGCAAGTTGAAACCTACAGAAAGATTCCTTCTTGTCAACTGAAATAAACATATTGGAAATGAACACTGACACCAAATTCAGAGACAATAATATTATCATATTCATATTTAAATAACTTTACCTTTCCGAGACCAAGCTAAACCCTCTAGGTAAGTATTGATATGTGTCTGAGGCACCTAACAGGCATCTAATAACGCTAGCACTCTCAGGAAGCCACTCTGATGTGGCTAATACCAGTGTCCAGGGACAGATGGCCTGCTGGTGGTCCAGGATCCAGGCCTGTTTAAATGCCAGCACCTTACATTCTTGTGAATAGCTACCTTCGCAGAGCTTTGGATTCTGAGGAAAGGAAAGGAACGTACCTTCTGGTTCTGGAGTTTATTCAACCGAGAATCAAGTTTCTGCTTTTCCACATATAAATCATTCATCTGATGAAGTTTCTTGGTGTGTTCTTTTGTCTTCATCATGATTTCCCATCTCATTTGAGCAATCTTTTCCTACCAGGACAGGAAGGTGGAAAATGAACAAAGTGTAGAGGAGAAGAAATAAAGAAAAATGAAGACGGTCTAATTCGATCAAAGCCATCATGCAAGGACTGGGGATGTAGCTCAGTGGAAGAACACTCGTCTAGCATGTATGAGGTCCTGGGTTCAATACCTAAAAGTTGGAGAAAATAATTTTTCATTTAAAACTAATCATGCAAAGGGAACAATATGTAATTTTGAAAAAGAAAATATAATCAGAGGGTGGCTGGAGAGATGGCTTAGGGGTTAAGAGCACTAGCTGCTTTTATAGAAGACCCAGGTTCGATTCCCAGCACCCACATGATGGCTAACAACTGTCCTAACTCCAGTTCCAGGGGATCTGTTGCCCTCTTCTGGCCTGTATGGGCTTTGCGTGACACAGCGGCACTTATATGCATGAAGGCAAACCATCCATGCACATAAAAAAAAAAAAAAATCAATAAAAAAAATTTAAAAAGAAAAGAAAATGTAACCAGAAACAATTGTATTGAGTTTGGTCTGAGTAAAGAAAAACGTAAGGCACTTATTGCCAAACATGGTCTGAATTTATCACTAGTATCCATGTGGTAGAAGGAGAAAATTGACTCCCTCAAGTTGTCCTCTGACCTCCACAGGTGCACTGTGGTATACATGCGCCCTTCTATGTGGACACTCATGTGTGCACACACAGATAAATAAATGTAATTTTAATTTTGTTTAAAAAGGAAAATAAAGTATGTTCAAAGATAAAAGAAGATAAAAATAAGGTATAGCTAGAAACCACTTTATCATTGAGGAATAAAATTAGTATACATGCTAACTGCTGAAACAAGTCAGTGGCCATAACTTAGGCAACTCCCATTTAGTTTGATTTCAAGGTGGGTGACTTAAATTGCCATACATCTGTATGATGTCTTTCTTTTGTTTGCAAGTGCATACCCCACCCCTGTAGGGATCAGTTTCATTGGTATGAATATTTTTGTAATTTGCTTCTTCAAAGTAAAGTGGTAAATTTCAGTAGTACAGTTGAGATAGGGCCTCAAGACAAGCTAGGACTAGGAACTTTTCCTCCTATCCTATCTGCTGATGAGAAACTCTATGAAAGCCCCTATCTCAGAATCAGGCTAGAACAAGGCACTGTCACATCCTATGGCTTAAGGAACAATTTTTAATCATTAGAATCTTCTAAAACCCTACCAGCCACACAGTCTATGCCTTGTTATGAAATTCAGTGCTTAAATGTGTTTTCTATTCTTTTCTTTTCCAGTGTTGGGAATTTAACCTAGGACCTTGTACATGCTAAGCAAGTACTACATCACTGAGCCCTAAGCCCTTAGCATGTTTTCTAAACCCCAAAGCTATTCAGTCATGCAAGTGGGATCTGCAGGGAAGAGCAATTCTGTGACAGCATGCAAACTTTAATGCAGGCCTCAAAGTGGGCCCTCTGGGTCATGTTTCATGCCATTTCTACATCATATATATATATATAATATATATATATATATATATGCCCCCTAGACCCTCAAAACTAGCGCTAGTACAATCTCCAAGATAGGTCTCTGTAGTAAAGAAGTGTGGTGGAATCTGGGTGCTGCACAGGTATTTCACGGGAACTACCTAAGCCTCATCAGGATTTCATAACCCGGCCCAGATTCAGCCGAAAACCACCTGGTTCCTTTTCCTCACCTCCCACATCTTCATTTCCTTTGCATTGGATAGCTCCTTTTGAAGTTTTTTGATCTTCAGTTCTTCAAGTGTTGTATTAACAGAAAGTGTCTGAAGGGCTTCCAGATCGACCACCCGGCCAAACTTGCTGATCATTAATTCACGGACTGTTTCTTCCATTTCTAAAAGATAGTCACCATCTCAGTCTCTCCAGTACCTTCAATGTTATTAAATGAACAAAACTAGTGACAAGAAAATGCTAAGGAACAGCTTTTGTAAGATGTTACCATTTTTTGTTACCAATTGATTTTCCTCTATGGAATTTTGCCTGTTGCTTTTCTCATGAAAATGCTCATTCATGGACAGCTTTTCATCTTCAAAACTCTGTGTAAAATGGACTCATTTTTCCCAAGTGACTTATATGCTCTGATCTGCCCCTCCTTGGACCATTGGTGGGCTTCAGCTACATTATTAAGTAATTTAATTCTTTTATTGATATTTACAGAATCTATTGTTAAATATAGAATAGACACTTTATGTAATTTTCTATCTTACTACAAGCAAAAATTAAAGTAAGGTCTTGTGGTCATTCACAAGGCACACATGGCCTTCTCTGCCCTGTCCTGTTGCCTCTCCTTTTCACACCTCTCCCTGTTTGCTCCACTCCACATCTAATCTCAGAAATATAATAATAAATGAAAGGCTATGTTTCAAAGGCTGCATAAGGTCTAACATTTTATAAGACTTCAAAGTAACATCTTAGTTAGGAATACACATAAAAATGTATTTTTTAAAAGAAACACACGCTCTGCTTCCCAGGGCCTGCATGACCCACAGGCCTCTCTCTGGGGTAAGTTGATCAGACTCCCGTACCTTGACTCCCCCAGCCTCATTCACCCTCCCATCTCCCCCACCCGTCTCTCCTCCTAGCCTGGGACCTGTCCCATTCCTTGTCTTGGCACCCCAGACACGGGGGAACCACCACTACTTCCTGATCCTTTGCATCCAGACCAACCCAGGAGCCCTCTGGGCCTGGCTCCACCCTCACCTCCTTCTGCTTCCCTGGTCTACACAACCCGCCAGCCTCCCTGCCTGGAGCTCTTGGGGCCTGGTCCCGCCCTCATCTCCCTCTGCTTCCCTGGGCTGCACAACCTGCCAGCCTCTTTCCTGGACGCAGGGGCTGACCTTTCCCCTTCATGAACCTTTGCATCCAGACCAACCCAGTTCCTCAGTACAGTCCCCAGGAGCCCTTGGAGCCTCTTCCCGCCCCCATCCCCCTTTGCATCTCTGGGTGACATGGCCACCAGCTGCCCTAGAGCAGCATCTTTCCTGGGCCCTGCTCCCAGGCCAGTCCAACTCCCAAATTCTTGAGGCCAAAATCTTTCCTGGAGGGATCCAGACCTTAGAAGAAAGCCTGAGAGCATCTGATCCTCATCTGACTTGGGCCTCTGTGGGAACTCCTGAAGACAAAAGCAATCTGGCCAATCCAACATAAAATCAAAAGAATCGGAAGCTTAGAGGAACCAGCTTTTCATGCCCCAAAAGTAAACAACAAAAACACATAAAGTTTACAAAAAGAAGCAGACCTAAACTTGAAGGCTTGAGTCTCACACTAAAATCAGAAACTACAAAGGAAATTCACATGTAAAATCACAGAAAAAGAAAATAATAACATGAAAAACCAAAATAATTTATCCCTACCAAGTACCAATAGTCCTCTAGAGGAGTACAATGAGAACCCCCTAGAGATAATGCAGGACATG